CATTTGAGGATTGATCAGGCGAAAAGCATCAGTAACTACTTTGCCTTTGACAGACTATATCGGATCAACAACAACAAGAGCCACAGCCCTTTGATTCAATGCCTCAAAACTTTGTTATGTATTTATATCTACACTAGACATCCAACATCCAAATCCAGGGTGAGAGTGATACCAGCCAACCACCATTTCGGGTCTATAAAATTCATTAATCGAAATCAGATATGAACCTAAATGATCTCATACACAAAAGAACTTCAATTCATACCGTCCAGTTTGCTTCAACATATCCAACATTTTTGTTTGGAAAACGGGATCAACCGCTTCTACGGAAACGCCCGTACCACTTTGAGGCATAGCAAATACATCAATTACTCGTACAGTATAATCATCCACGAATTCACCGAGCATCAAACCCATAACTTCCATAGGTACTCCGGCACGTCCTATCAATAATTTATAAATTAACAAATATAAATTGATGTTGAGTAATACTTTGAAAAATTAAATAAAAAACTAACCGTGTTTTAACATCTATCAAATAACAAATACAAAAAAATGAAAATTATTAGCGTGGTGAATAGTATTTTCTAACCCAGTAATAACCACGCAAAACCAGAAATTTTATGACAACTGATTTGATTTCCTACCTTAAGCAAAGCTAAAGAAGAAATATAAACCATTTCTGCGTTATCCACAGTTGGAGTATCCATACCGGGCTGGTGCCCAGCTGCTGCAGCTCCGAAAAGTCGTTGAAGTCTTTCCATTTTAAAAAATGACTAGGTAATCGCGGGGGGAATTGAAAAAAAGAGTGCCTTTTGCTAGGAAATTTGCAATATATATTCATCATCATTTAAGGATTCGTAATCATTGGGCACAATTTTGTTCATTCACGTGACTTCATCGTTTCACCAAGCTAATCCTATTTTTTAAATTGCAAATATTTCATTTCTCGAGGAGGTTTTATAACTGCATAATGAAATTGAGATTAGATTCAATTGAACATAGAAATAAAGATTTATGATATTAAAGAATTATTTTATCTTATTTTTATCGTGATATACAATTCAATATAATTATTTTTCGGCAACATCCAAAATACTTTGGCTCTTTACGGACAAGTGATTTATCTGTATTACGTAATATTATTTAAACTATTTTAAACGATCATAATTGTGGCATAAAGCTCAAAACATAATGTGCCTTTCAAAAGAATCATAATCAGTAAAGCTGCTCGGGGAAATGACTCCAATTCCAAAATTATCTTTGTTTTTGATTATATAAAGAAGAATACGGCAAACGATATCTTACACTCATATAAAACTATTAGTGTGATTATCATGATTATACTTTGATATCATCGAATCTTTTTCCGAACCTACGATATAATAACTGTATTAAAAGGACAAGCAAACGAATTTTTCTGATCAACTTTAAAAGAGGTAAAACCCTACCAAAAGAAGACTCGAATGATGCTATCAACAATTAATAAAATAAAAAAAAATTAACGTTATGACATTTCTCATTTGTTATTTGTTATTCTTATTATCTTACCTATTAACTAACAAGATTCAACTAGTATCTAAAGAAAATCCTGCACTCGATTTAATTTTACGAAATTTGGAAAAATATCCTAATACTGGCCCAATGACCATTGAAAGTATTTCTGTCGACATTTAAGGTTAACGACATAAATTAAAACTTTAACAAATTTGGAAGGTGAACTTGTCGATCACAAAAATTTCATAATTTTTTTATAATATCTAAGGATCGGTAATAACTTGAGATATATCTTTGACAATTTCGTATTGGTTGCTCCTAACGGTTGGACAAAGATTTCATGAAACGACGTAAATCGGAATGATATTTTCTGATCGATTAAAGGAATAATAATTTTCATTCTCAGAAAAACGTGGTACCATCCATCTTTTATCATATTATTTTTTGTTGATTGCTAAAAAAAATTAATGGTTCTATACGAAGGTAATCAGAAATAATTAATTTAAATATTTTTAAAATGATAAGCGCTTTCTTTATTTAAAACGTTTGTAAATGTACGCTTTGTAGATTTGACGTCTTTATTCATAACAAATGTTCAGTCCGATTAAAATTGCAGGCACATCCCATTGGATTATAACCCGTGAATGTTCAGAGTCACTTTTCCATATTACCTTGAATTGATAGATATCCAATTAAAAATAGTCTAGAGACTAGACTCGTATTCGTTTAACTCAAGTCAACTCGAGTTAAATTCTGATTCGAGTCAAGATTTTCTTGATTCGAGTCAGAATTCGAGTTGACTCGAATTAAA